GTGCAGTGAAAGACAAGACTACCGATAAAAATATATAATATCTAAAAGATAACCTGTTTAATGCTTCCTGAACAAGAGCTTCAGATTCTGCATCTAACGCTGATGTCGCCTCATCGAGAATCAGCACTACAGGATTCCGAACCAACGCTCTTGCAATCGCAATACGTTGTTTTGACCTCCTGAATGACGTACATATGTTCGTTTCCAGAATAACAACGATATGAAAAAAATGCTGAAATAAAATATAGATTCTGGTTCGCTCAGGAACAGGACACAAATAAATGGGAACTTGATGAGTGGTTCAGCTGTGCTGGAAGCATTGGTTCGGGGGGGGGGGTAGCAACACTCGAAATCCCTGAGATGAAGTAGGCGTGGCTGCGTACATCGACTAACGCGGCGGTGACTGTACTTTTAGTGAGATATAACTTGATTTGGACACAGTTGTGGTCATGTCTCTGTCTAACACTGAACTTTGGACGACGAATGACGTTGAACAAGACGGCAGTTGTCCTAAATTGGAATTTCTCCACGAGTACTCATTCCATGCCATGTGTAAATGCCACGCCTACTCTATCTCAGAGAGAAGTGTACACTAGGCGAGTACCGGTCTCTTGGTACTTTCTGATTTGACATTTCTGATCACCAAATATAACCGGGTATCCACCATTTGCTATAAACGACTTCTGGTACAAGAGATTGTGAGTGATAGTGCAGTGTGCCCTTTTGTGGAGCCTCTACACTTTGACAATCGAACTTTTGTCATTGCAGCTTGCGATCCTCCTATATATAATCCGCTAAGTATGTGTGTGTGTCACGAAATTCATAGCGACCTTCCCAGTAGCTGTGGGAAGTTGATTCCAAGGAATGATATAGGGGCTGTGACGGGAACATTATTGGTGGGTGACAGGAAGTGATATCAGCTGATAAGATCTGATAAGAGGCGTCACAGGGGAGAGTCACCGAGTCCATAGCGCGGGTCACAGCGACAGTGGGACGTTAGTTCAAAGGCATGATATGGAGGCTGTGACGGGAACATTATTGGTGGGTGACAGGGAGTGATACCAGCTGATAAGATCCGATAAGAAGCGTCAGAGTGAGAGGGCCACCGAGTCCATAACGCGGGTCACAGCATCGTCTAGACGTTGATTCCAAGATATGATGCAGGGACTAGAACATTATTGGTGCGTGACAAGAACTGCTAGCAGCTGATAAGATCTGATAAGGGAAGTTAGAATGGGAAGGTAACCATCACAGCGCGGCACACAGCATCTGCTAGGCGTTAACTCCAGTAAGTGATGTAGCGGGCGAGGTGGGGACGTCGACGGTGGGTGACAGAAACTGATGATAGGGGCTGATAAGGAACATCACCGTTGTCGTTCGTCCGATCAGCCTTTACACTTCATGCAATATACTCATGTAAAGATGTCGCGAGCGGGGGGGGGGGTATGTATCTCGCGTGAAACGGGAATTTTGGAAAATCAAAAATGTGAATAATGTCATTTTTTTACTTTTCAACTTTTGATCAATGATGAAAACGAATAATAAGGTAGTCTGACGAATACACAACTAATGTACCTCGAATATTGGCATCTGCAGTCCATTTATAGGGCTTCGGCGAGTGCAAGGTAATGGAAAGTTAAGCGCTCATTGTGGGCGCTGGGATGCAGGTAATAGGAAAAGAATTTGCTCATCTACAACTCAGTCAGTACCGCGTAATTTTAGCGGGCTGTGAGGAATTTCTTTTCTATTATGATGTGCGCTTGGCGAAGCCAACGCCAGCACAGCGAAGCCTGGCTGAAGAGAAGGAGGAGAGCTCGGCGTCAGCCGGGCGATCCAACTGGTGTAAGGATATCTGGCATATTGGCTTATATCAGCCTCGTCGGCAAATTTTGATGTTTGCCAACTGCAGTTAGACCCCTCTGTTTCAGCACCCTTTGTTATTTTCCAGTATAAAAGCAGTAACACTGCGATGAATGACGTTTTAAGGCGTTCGATGGTAATTCACCTCTATCTCATTTTTCACACTCTACTAGTTGCTTCAATGACGTTTACCACCCTCTACTACTTGCTATCAGCTTCTATTAGGTCATCCCATTCAAAAGTGCCGTCGGTTTTATTCGAATAAAACAAAGAGGAGAATAGATAAAAAAGTAATATTTTGGCTTCAAGTTAAAGACACATAGTACGCTCACACACATTGAGGGTGTATGAGACTATCAGCCCCCCAGCTGTCGATGTGTCGTGGTCCCCCCGCCCAAACATGCCCAGGAATGGAGATACAGGACCGTGAAACACGCTAATTCCTCCATGCTCCGCCTTACACCTTTTGCGGCGCAGATTCCCGTCCTTCATAACATCCGTTGCAAGCGCGCGTGTCGCGTGCGGCTCCTTGGCACTTTGCCAAGTCCTTTAATTGCGCTTTCAAATACAAGTAAAACGCAATTTCCTGATGCGGATAACATTGGAGGTGCTGCAAAATAAGAACAGAAGATGATGACGAGGGTCAGAACTTAAAAGCAACTGTGCCACTTCTGCAACATCCCTCGGAGGCCGCGTATTTCCACGAAACATGAAAATAAAACGGCATACTCGTTAGTTTGATACAAGCAAAACGCAATTTCCTGATGCGAATAAAATTTTAGGTGTTGCTCATGCTTCAAAATCCATGTACAAGGAGATGAAGATGACACAGGCTAGAAATGAAGCACAACGATGTAAATGTAAATAAAACAAAAATGAAAAAATCAAGGAAAGGCAAATTAGTTGAAATCGCCTGTAAATTTCTACGATCCGGCGCGAATCCGGCGCCAAAGCCATAGAAATACTTAGAATAAACGAGTGGGACGCTTGGATTGTTTTTATTCTCATGTTTTCTGGGAATGCGCGGCCTCTGATGGATTCTGCGGATGCAGCCGAGTTGCTCTTGAGTTCTGGCCCTTGTCATCATCTTCTGTTCTTATTTTGTAGCACCTCCAATGTTATCCGCATCAGGAAATTGCGTTTTACTCGTATTTGAGAGCGCAATTAAAGGACTTGGCAAAGTGCCAAGGAGCCGCACGCGACCTTGCAACGGATGTTATGAAGGACGGGAATCTGCGCCGCAAAAGGTGTAAGGCGGAGCATGGAGGAATAGCGTGTTTCACGGTCCTGTATCTCCATTCCTGGGCATGTTTGGGCGGGGGGACCACGACACATCGACAGCTGGGGGGCTGATAGTCTCATACACCCTCAAGTGTTTGAGCGTACCATGTGTCTTTAAGTGATCCTGCCAATCTATGCCCAATGACCCGCTCCCAGTGCTTTGGACCTCTGGTACCTTCGATTTTTCAACAAGTGCGAGTAAATTGCTGTTGATGCCAATTTCGGCGAATGACAAAACATTGTAGCGTTTGCCGTCGGAGAGTACTCTCGACTGACGAGAACAATTGGAATCGCTCGGCTTTGGGTCCGGCGAATGGGGCGATGAACCAGGTCTCAGTATTGTTTGTGTCCCAGCACTGCCTACAATACAGTTACTCGGGGTCTGGCACTATGACGAGCAACGGTGGCCTTCTTGTAGTTGTGTGGTATCATCCATTTGTCGATCTGATTGCCGAGGAACAGGCAATATACACCGACAGCTACGATTTTATTCTCTGTATAGAGCCGCCTGAAAGCCACAGTGTGGGAATCCTTCGCTATGATGATCATCCACTTGCGCCCACGTAACTCCTCATGGTAGAACTCGGGCGGCTTCTCATCTGCATTCATACAAAATTGACGATTGTGAGTTTTGGCTCGAGGTCCAAGACCACCCATATTTCATCTAAGGCCGGGGTGCGTTTTCACAGTCGTGAATGACATCTCATGCTGAGAACATTACTGCTAGAGGTATAGAATCGGTACTGCGTTCGTGCTTCTATAAGAAAATTAGGTACCCATGCGCACACCCCCTTGACCATCCTCAGTTTATCGGTCATAACACGTACAGTAATTGCAGCAGGGATGTCAGTCTCGCGGGGAAACTCGACAAAGGTCCAGGCTCTGTGATCAGATATTCAGTGCCTGACTTCATCCACCCTTTTTCCTTGTACAGGATGAACATTATGGGACCATCCAGAACAACAAATTTTTTTTCCTCTCTTCCTTCTTCGGGCTCCTGAACCAAACTTTCACCTTGTACTTCAAGAACACCATTATACACAACTACTGGTCCGGTGCCACTCGAAATTGAGCAGCGCACTTTCCTGTTATGACACCTGATTTGAAAAACCGGCGCCGATTTTCACCACTCGGGCTTCTTTTCAATTTCTCGAGAACTTCTTCTGTGGGTAATACCTACAGAGGAAGCTCTCGAGAAATTCGCCAAATTTCACAGATACACAGCTAAAGGTACTAGCCTCCAAATGGTATAGTAGCCCGCTGCTCTATCCCCTTTGCTTTTCTGCCATTCCTCTATATGTAGCGGCACTTTTGAATGGGATGACCTAATATAACCCACCATCGATGTACCTGACCCACCCCTGCATCAATCTTGGTTTGGGGATACACGAATAGAACCAGTCGAAACTCTTACCTGACATTTGTACACCTTTTTCTCCACAATTAGTATCGTAGCCTTTCTCGAGTTCAGTTACAAAATTATGAACGTTAGCCGTCTTAGACGCCCGGAGCATGTCCTCCTCCGTTGCCCACTCGCAACCGTACAGTATGTTGTATCGTACTGAACCGTTATAGAGGATTGGCTCTTGAGCAACGAGAGCAATCTGAAAAAGTTCCTCATAAGTAACTTAAAGGCAGTTGGCAATAACTCCTCAAGACGAGTAGGATTAATATGTCTGACATGACGAAAGTCCGCGTCCCTGAGCAGAGTAACGCCTTCTCTAAGGAAGTTGCCCTCACAACGCCCCATCAAGTTGCACATACCGACCCAAACACCCACCGTGCCCGCCCGCCCACAAATGTACGCGCGTTTCTGATGCTCGTATTGCTTCCCAAGTAAAATATGAAGCGAAGGTTGTTTTATTATGATAACTGCTGTTTTACGCCGCAGTTCGCGTTCCGAAAGTTATCACAAGAATGCTGAGTTATGGGCAAAAGTCGTGCCCCAGGCGGGAGTCGAACCCGCACCTCACGCTTTCCGTTACGCGTAACGGATAGCGCACTCGCCCGGAAAGCGTGAGGTGCGGGTTCGACTCCCGCCTGAGGTTCGACTTTTGCAGTCAGTATTCTTGTGATGAAGTAAAGGGACATGAAGCGGCCGCGTTGTTGCATGGATATATGGTAAGATGCCTACAGGAAACTCGTCCGGAACAGCTTTTCAAGTCATTAAGAACGAAGGCTTTTCTTCGCAGGTTTTGACCGTTTCACTTCGTTTTTTCGCCATTTTCCCCCTATACAGCACCCTGTTAGCATTTTAGACCGAGTACCAGACTATCGTGCCATATGCTTTTGGACGTAAAGATAGCTCAAATGTTGCAAAATATTGCAAAAGACGTGGCTGCGCAGCATTCATGTTACAATTAGATCATTGCATTGGCGAACATACAAGAGAGCAGAAACTGACCTTCTGATGGTAGAAACTATGGGAAATATCTTTTATATTGACGCCATCAATCGTGATGGTGCCACTGGTTGGCTCGTAAAAGTGCTGAATCAGCGAAACAATCGACGATTTTCCACCGCCGCTAGGCCCAACAAGTGCTGTTGTACGCCCAGCCTCAACAACCAAATCCAAACCCTGGAAAAGAAGTTTCTTGTAATCCAGAAATGAACTGCATCAACTGAAATGGTTACCTTCAACACTTTGTTGTTTGGCCGTGACGGATAGGTGAACTCTACTTCTTTGAACTCGATCCGCCCACTAAGGGGTGGTTTCATCTCTCCATCATTTGGAATTTCTGGTTCACGATACATGTACTCGAAAACCTAAAGAAGTGAGAACAATAGGCAAGCCAACTCAGTTAGTCATTGTGACGAAACAAAAATCTCACCTTTCTTGACGCCCCTACGCATTCCATCAAACCGGTCATCACATAGCCAATGTTCTGGAAAGTAAACTTTAGACCAAACCTAAGCGTTCCGCATATAACTATAGTAAGGATTTCACATTTGTTGGCTTTCCGGAACCTAGCCTCCTGCCTTCAGTGATGATGCATAACCCAACCCTTAAAGGCAGTGGCACGGTCTCTGGAGGCGGGCGCTGTCACCAACGTTATTGGTGAAAGGCTGGTGAGGTAAGGCCAAGCACCCTCTCGCAACCTCCCAACTTATGGTACTGGCAACAGTCACCCGTCTCCAGCAGTCGAGTGTCTCGGAGTCTGCCATTCCATGGGAAAGGATCCTAGCTGAAGTGGCTGCTTGTAATTCATCACATACCGTATATGTTCATACCATTTTCCGAATGGAGTTACTAACGGCTCTCCCCATGCTTTCACAGGCAGGTCACGCGAACAAAAAATGGTGGGTGGTGGATGTTTCAATACTAATGACACAGTTGTAATTAACCTAGTAAAGAAGAAAAGAAATAAAAAAATCCGATATGCCTCAAGTGCTCCCTTCGTCGCATGTCTGTGCAAGTTTGGAGCCCCTCCCGCTATTGCTGGTAACATAGCGATATCAGCTCTGTCCCCCATCACTTCACTCTCGTCATGCAAAATGGAAAGAGCTAGTAGAAAGCTCACCACCTCGAAGTTCATTTCATTTAAATATAGGCGATGGGCGTGGTATAGGGCAGCGTGCAGGACATAATCTCCTTCAGGAGCGGGTTGCTGCCTTTCACGAAATTTTGAAGCACGATAGTGGTACATTTTCCGAGCCTATGCGTATGCGTGAGAAACCGTTACAGCTGGAAAGCACAACGCACACAGTGCTGCAACGGCATTCACCGACCTCATCGCCTCTAAATCTCTGGACTAATAATGGATCTTAACACGTTGGCGACATTGCGTCCCACTGCTGGGACGCACCTTTTTTGCCGCGTGGGACATTGCGTCCCACTGCTGGGATGCGGCATGGGTAAAAAACCAATTTGAAGACGTTTCGAATTTTCAACAGCTGCATATTGTCCATGAAGGCATTGTAGAATATACAGTAGCTGTAAACCGTGCAGTTGTGTCATTGAGAGTATTTTACCGAGGAGACAAACGAAAGTGATTTCCTAGGAAAAAAAGATAATTCTTGGATATATAGAACTGAAGCTCCACATGCAGATAGCTAATGTGATAAGGTAACTTTCAACAATAGCAGATCTGAATCGAATCCAATTTACCACCTCTGGCGCGAAATATTCCTTTTTTGCGACCTTGTTCCCACGCTCCACGTGAATGAGGCGGGAGTATTCCATGAAATTTCAGGGTCGGAGTATTCCATGAAATTTCAGGGTTTATCTTGAAAGTAAACAAGAATAGCGAAGCCTTACTAGCTTCTGCAATGAATTCTGACCATTCTTCATTTTTTTTGGCGTATAAACGCCCTAGCATTTATGCGCATTCTTCGAAAATAGGGAAAAACTGCTTTGTCCCACGCGGCAGACACGCGAAAAGGCGCCTTGTCGCCAATGTGTTAAGTTTGTTTGAGCCGAGATATGCGCCCTTTGAACTTTTAGATTGGGAACTCTAGCAGCTAACACCCTCCTTCACGATCTATTAGTTCTTACAATAAGATGGAGCAACCTGAGCTTCTCCACAAACTATTCGATTCAACTCACATAAAGGTTCTCGCCGAGCTGCATTTGATAAAGGAGAAAGGTAATCAGTTGATCAGTAGTCATCATGTCTGAACGGACAAAAGTCAGCGAAGAGACCACGCGCGGGAAGGAAACTGCATGTATATGCGAAGAACGTCAAAAAAGTACCTGACATGACTAAGTGTCCCCCGTAGAAGAGTACCGCTACGAGAATAGCATTGTCGCAGAACTCGTTATTCCAGGTGTAACCCATGTAAGCGATGGCCCTGCAGATATGCTTATCTGCTCACAGAAAGTCATGAAAAGCAGTGTACAGTTTGATAATTAACGCCTGCACTCTTTAAAGCCACATGCCGCGTGTGTCTCATGTGCAAACCTATGTTAGGACAAGGTAGTCCTCTCAACATGCAGAGAGCATGGGCGCTGTTTAGCGACGGGGGGGCATTTTGTACTAACATTGCTTCCCTAGTTCCGGTTTACGAATCTCACCATGGTAAAACTTGTGAACGCCTGTGAAGCTGGAGTAAGATCGTCTAGCCACCATCCTAAAACGTGAACTCGAGAAAAGGCTACCTAGATGGGTCGGCACATCTATGAGAAGTCCCCACGTCGACAAACTGCGCCGAGAATATGTATCACTTCTGTGGCTCAAACGGGCGTGATAATGACGCCACACTACTGGGACGGACAGGATGCCCCACGCTCTGTCCCATACTGCAAACAAAGCTTATTTCTCACGTCTTCCTCGTAGCCGGTTGTTCCGCTACTAATCCTTTCCATTCCCAGCGGTTGCAGTGACGCGATGAGGAAAAAGATCTGACGTGGTCATACCAGATACCAACAAGGGAAAGCTACTTCAAGAACGGCCTCTCCTCGTCCTATGCACGTACAAGCCCGATCCCATGGGCGGGGGGGGCACTCAGAAGGTAATTTGGCAGGGACTTTGCGTGACGCGTTGAGTTACGTACTACCTTTCATAATAATACCCTCGCTGCGAATAATAAAAGTTTGCGGGTGAAGCCGCGGATCAATGGGACTTTGTGAAGTCACTCCGAGAACGCCCCTGCCTCAAAAGACACCCTACACGGCTTGCTTGAGCATCAAGTACCCCTCTCTATTGGGACACTTGCCCTATAAGCACATTATGGTACCCACTGCTTTTTAGGCAACCATGGATCGAAGGCTGTAAAAATATGAGCTTGACTTTGCTACAGAGCATTCAGCAGGTGAATGATTTGAATACTACATATGATTCGCCAAGTCTGCGCCTTATGTGTAGGGAATCACAATCCACAAATTTCAATTCACCTCACATGAAAAGCATCAGGATGCACGGAAAAGAGTGTACAGTTGGTATTAAAGGCTATGCAAAGTAGAAGCTTCTTCTACACTTGATAAAAGTCCAAAGGTCTCATCAAGGTGAGACCAGTGAGAGGAACGAGTAACAGAAACGGAATGAATCCCCCCCCTTTAAGGCCACAATGGCCTGTAGAATTTATAGATATCAGCGACGCAAATTAAAAGGGCCAACTCCCGCGACCACAGTTCATAGGTAATGCAGTTCAAAAATAGAACTGCCGCGTGTGTTGCTTATTGAAGGAGAAGGGAAAAAGCGCCCGGAATAAGACCCTCTTTATTTCAATTGATCATGATCACCGGACGAGCGTAAGGTGGTCAAGATCAATTGTGAATTGCAAAAGGCGGCGATACACTGATAAGAGACGAGAGAGGCCAGAAAACGACGGGCGAGAGAGCGCAATGGCAGTCTCACAACGACGGTCACTGGAGGCCGGCATGGGCCTATCGGGCGCCAATGGGCCTAAAACCTGAGCGCCCTGCGTTTTGCTTGCTGTTTTTCAACTTTGCAGATAGCCTCTGACGTTGCCTGCTTGACCATCGTGCACGGTTATGAGAACCTAGCCTTAGTTTATCGCGGAACGTGCCTTTAAACCGTCGGTGCTAACATTCAATACCATGCTTGGTGACTAAAGCAGCGAATAGTCCTTATAAGTGAAGTTTCAAGAAAAAGCTTTCGAAGAACGTGACTGATGAGTGGCGCACTTTTTGCTCTGGCGGGCCTGAGCGTTGTGTTACAGGGAACTTACTTTTTTCTGTTCATCTTCAGCGTATCATTTAGTTTCCCTTCGAATCTATCCGCTTCTCGCCGTTCACATGCGAAAGACCTGCAAGACACTCTTTGCAAATAAAGACTATCTTAATAAGGGATATCTATGGTATAAGACCTTTCAATAAAATAGAAA